TGGATACCTTTTCAATATGAAGGCTTTCAGTCACCAGTTTGACTCGAGTGAAAAATTGTCACACAACTAATGCACATTAATAGTTTAATGAACACACTGTCCATAAATTTATTTAGTTATAATAAATTATTTGTTCAATTAGCTTATTAAGCTACAAAATAATTCACTCGATAAAATATAGTTTGATATTTAGAAAGTGCCATAATTTACATTGAAGACAATTTGATCTTTGTTATAGTCTACTGAATCCTATGTGCAGATACGAAGTGTGAAAGTTTGTGAGTAAAAACTCCTTTCATCAACCTGATTGATTAGAATCAAATGTTGATAACTGACGAAACACTTGTCAAGTAACTCAAAAAGAAGGACTCTTGGAAAATGAACAGAATGAAGTCATAACTAAAGACGATATAATAACTATAAATGTATACATCACATTGTTGGTTCAACTGTTACTTTATGGAGGAATCATATACAAACACACAAAACCAGATTAGTGGCACTCACTTAGTCTACTACTTTTTTAGTAGACACATGACTTTACTAAAATAACAATAATTGGTGTTAGCGGGACATAGACTGCATTAAAGCATGCTCGATTGCTTTGGTGCACGCTGATTGGCTAGTTCTTGCCCAATCAGTGCTAGCCGATACTTGGAAAATACTCTAGAAATATTATCATGTAAAAACTATAAATATACTAACGTTTTTCCTATTGTGCTTCTTACCTCCATCTATCCTTGTTATTTGGAATATAATCGCTTTCCTGTTCAACTGTGTTCTGGTTTGGGGCCTTGTCGAGTGAATTGGTGTCCGAGAATACTAAGCAATAGGAATTGCTGGGTAATAACCGTAAGAGAGAATTACAACAATTGGATAAGGTCTAGAATTTCATATCTACTTGTAGATATCATTTGTAATAGAGTTACCAGATTCAAGCCCTGAATAGGGCATTATTAAGTATTAAGACAAAAAATGACGCTTGATATTTGAGAACTGGTCTAACGAAATACTTACTGAGAAAAAAAACAAGACACCTCTAAAAAATTAGATATTGTGTAACAGATCTGAATTTGTTTATGAAAAACGTCTCAATGAGATATTTAAGCATCGGTTTTTATCGAATAAACAGGAGAGTTGGTATCTGGTGAGGCAATATTCAAGCATTCTTTGACAGAATTCGAGAGTGTGCCAATATCATCAGTTTTATCCTCTTTATCAGAATGAGTATCTTCAATGCTGGATCCTGCAAATAAGGAATGATAAATATTCTAAGAGGATCAGGATCCAGAAAAATTCAAACACTAAATATAACAGTAATTCTCACTTACATTGAATAAAAAGACTCCTAATTATATGAGACTATAATCATTTCACAACACAAGATAAGAATTTATATCACAATTTACGTATGATATGTAGCGCGTAGAAGGTAGTACAAATTACGTTCCAGACACTTTATCAACGGCAAGCATTAGTAGTTTAACTGCGACGAATATAAATTACACCGAGATCTCAAAGCTGCAGAAGACTGATACTGAACTGAACGAATTTTGCAATATTAAGGTGTAAAAAACTTATCAAGGACATCCGTTTGCCCAAATATAAGTAGCGACTTACAGATATGGACGAAATCATGCACGTAATGTCAAAAGTTCAACAACACGCAGTAGTATCGTCTATAGGAGGGTTTTCTGCACCGGACTGAAGTCCGAGTATATTAATATCGATATTTTCGGACACTTACTACCTAATAATTTAATTTATATACTAAAGTGTATTGATCGATTCACCAGAGCCATCCGGTTGTAAAGCGCTGCTCCTGAAACGGCGGAAAAGTTTTTGAAACATTAGGTTGCTGATTTCGAAGTTACAGAAAGTATTATTACAAACTTAGGTGCACAATTTGGAAGCCGTCTGTTTTGATAACTAACAGAGTCATTGTGTGTTCAGCGGATACGGATCACAGTTTGTCAAGTAACATACTATTTTTATGTTCGTTGTTGACTCCATTCGATATTGATGAGGAACGATGAAATATAGTTCCTTAACTAACTACGTATACTTACATAAACCTCGTGTTAGCGAATCACAGAATGAAAAAATACGATAATGGTTTTGGATACATATGTTTCATACACCCATTGATACAGATAGACAAGAAACGAGAGGCGGGCAAGAGAAACTTGTTTATTCTGTTTAGTCAAACGTTACTCAACATTTATAGGGATTAAAAGTACATCTAAGTATATGAACAAAGGTACTGCCATACACACATGTTCAAGATCACATATATATGGTCTAACGACTGGAGAGACTAAAATAATTCGTCTGTTCAAAGGTTAGAACAAACCATGCTGGCGTGTGACAATGAGACTTACTACAAGCTGAATGACTTCATATGGCAATATCGGTGTACAACTATTGTTTTATTAGTGACTGACTGATCTTTACATTCCCAATGAACTTGAATTATAAATTTTCGGACATCCAAGTGATGCTATGAATAAAACAATGATTAACATTCAGATAGATATTTTTTGTTGTACTACTGAATTAGTAACAGTCCTTACTAGAAACTGATATAAGTTGGAGTACAACTTCTTGAAATATGTTCCACATAGTTCCGGCTGTTCTCAGAGAGTAGAATCTGGATATCTCCAAACCTAGTGTTGGTTACTGTTTTCCAACTTAATACAGCTTCTGATTAAAGAACTTAATAGTAACAAATGTGGCGAAAGCAGATAGTGTAGTGAACAGAACACGGGTAGGGAACGATCGAATGTATTTGACACAAAATTAAAGGACTTGTTAATAAATTCTAACAATCAAATAGTAAATGCCTAATTTGCAAAATGTCCATCAATTGTCTCAGAATGGCTCGGACTTCATTGTTCTTGCATTTTCATACAAATTGCATTTTGTTCCCATTCTTTAGTGTTCGATCCTTTTGTCTCTCTGTTGTCAGACATTCTGTTCACGAGTAAGGTCATATACTACTTATGTCGATATAAGTAGCTCACAACACACTCGTCCCCCCTTTAAAGCAGTATGACTGGAAGTATAACAATTCTGGCTGTTATCCAATACTTCCGTCGATTTTCCTACATTTTTAAGGTACGTTTAAGTGCCTTAAGCGTAATTTAATTAAGAATTTCTTGAGCGTTAACGGTTGTTCTAGGTTAGCAGCAATGGTAAAAAGGGTATATGCTATTTTTGTCATATAACAAATACTACGAAATGGGGGATTTTCTAATGAATGCTAATGAAACAACTGAGTGTGTAGTAATCTTTTTAAACTGACTTACAAAAGTGCTTGATATAACAATATTGAGGAATTTTTTGCTGAATGACATTAATAGGTATGTAGAATATTTAAGAAGGTTAGGTTACTGAGGTTCTCTAATGGATTTAACAGGTCATTGAACAAGTAGTTCCTACTAAACACATAAATCAATATTTTAATATGATAAGGTCATTTTTATTATAATACGCCATATTAAGCATATTTTGAGATGATTCAAACATATATTATAAGCGTTTAGTTACAAACTAGATTGATGAGCTGTATTAACTGTATTAGATAAGGACTTTGGAGTCTCAAAAGTGATCCATAAAGCTACGTAGTTTGCAGTCCTGAGATTCCTATGATAAAAAAATACATACGGACACTTCTGTAGAGCCAAAATGTCATTGACTAGGTTAGTTAAGTCATGCATTATTATGGGGACTAACGTTTTTGATATGATTGTCACAAAGCAAAAGAATTATCATTTTGGATAAATGCTTCTTCTCAACTGGTTTCCGAAGTCCACTGTTCCTTCTTTACCATTCTGTCTACGTTGCTAACAAACAAAACTTGTACCTTTGTACCGCAGTGCAGATTGTTCTAGACCGACTTTGATGAATAGCCCTTCAATGATTGCTTAAGTCCTTGGCTAGTTCTTCCCTAAACATATTAACATTTTAGCCATCGACGAAAGCTTTAACAGATTCCTAAAACTCAGATAAATATGTAATTTCAAAGGGGCGACAGCATTCTGTTGATGAGTCGCAACTAGGACTAATATCGATATAGTTGGTCCCATCGTAGTAGTCATATCGGGAGTCAACAAACCAAATAGTGATTTTTCACGCTTGACGCTTATGTTCGCTAAAAATAAATTTGTCCGCCACGATTGCTACATCAGTTTTTGATAAACTTCATTTTTGACTTCATCCAGGTTGTTGTTACTAGGAGAGTATCCTGAAACAATGAAGCAATAGCTTTCCCCAAAACTTAATGTCCCATATAGCAGACAGCTCACAAATGATTGATATGGAGTACAGAAGTGCTTGATCTGATGAGGCGAAAATAACAAGATAAAAAACAATAACAAACCACGCTCAGTGAATAAAAAGTGGCCACAGTTAGTGTTAAATGTCAGTTAGTAATCTCCTTATCAAGATGCATGCAAGCAACGTTGAAAAATTGCACTTAAAGACCTACGTCACGAATATTTCTGCTAGCCATCAGAAAACACTGGACATCACATCAACAACAAAAGATTTGTGTATAACTGAAATAGTACACACATTCTTCTTGAATACACATAAATATTTGTAATTAGGTAAGTTTATATAACTTACTATTCTCAGTTAGTTTTTCCTCATTTGCTTGACAGCCTTCCTCAAAAATTTTCCGAAAATCTTCGGCATCTTAGTAAAACAAAACAAAAATTAAGATCACACCTAGCTGGATAGTGAACACGTATTTAATAAATTTCAAAAGAAGCAGCATCTCACAAAAGCGTTTTTTTAAAAATCATTATTACTTACGAATAACAAGCAAAATATTTTCAGAAAATTATCCATAATATCTCCGTCCAATTACAAACAATCAGTAAATAATTAGCCGAAGCACAAAAGAGTAGTCTGAATAAAAAATCTACTATTTGACAAGTGATCGATAAATCCAATTACCTATCAACAAAAACGATGACAGAAAACACAGGTAGTTAGTAGGTCTTCAACATGGATGCTGACTTCATTTTATCTACTTAATACAACTTAGGACACTTAGTCAATGAATTACACAAGGTCATCATTGTGTACGCCGTACTACTCATCTCTCGTAGCTACTAGCCGGCTTAGATCACATACTTTTTAACACATCGAAAACTTTCTAAATAAGTCCTCGGACTTCTTTATTCCTGACTTCCGGTTTGACTGGGTTCGGTATCCTTCGATCACAAACGTGTTACGGACAAATGCGTTGACAAACCCTGAACGCCTGTGGCATTTCTAAGGGTTAAATTGACGTGTCTAGTACCCCGAACGACAAACTGTAAGTTTATTCCTTCTTATAACATTACATTTAACATTTTTCTTCTACATGTTGTGACACTTTTTCTTCATTCTCGCGATTCTTACTCCTATTTACATATTTTGTAGTCATAATGACGGAACACACACACAGTGTGAAAGATTGTGACGCCCACACCTCACAATCTACAACTAATACCATTCAAGCCTGGTAATAATGGGGCACGTTTCTGATACACAAAAGCTAACTTTCACAAACAGTGTAACAGAAACACGTGTGCCATTCTTCGATGAGACAAACGCATAGCTATAATATCAGTGTTTAGTAGTGATTAACTCAGAAGTGATAAATGAAATACATACAAACACAGGACCTATCACACCGACATTACAAAATGGATTACTTTGGTATCCTGATTGAGTCACCGTAGTGGACTTATCAGACATAATGAGTTGGTTGACAAAGGCCTCACGAGCACGAACAATTTGACTAACTGTCAGGTTATATCATCTGTGATGTTCAGAGATGTCGACTTCTCTAAAGAATCACAGGTATACAGTCAAGAGTCAAAGTCGTACTGTAAGCTGACCGTTCAGCCAGTCATGTGCACCGGTTTAGTCTGCCACACTACATTAACTGACGATTGTTGAAGGTCGATGAAACTACGATATCACAAGTTTTGGAAGATGAATCCAGCCTAGAATATATCGTTTTCCCTTCATATCTATCGTTTTATCATAGAATTCAGTCATCTACTTGTCTCCTTGCTTACAAGTTTTATACCAGTAGCAAATATGTTTAAAAAGTCATACCATGTGGAGAAAACAAACACTTGTGGTTTGAATAAAGCAAGAACAAATATTGATGCAGAATAGTATGAATTCATAATATTTCGAGGTTTCTCGTCAGCTGCTTACAACCAAATATGTGATAAAAATTTTACATTGAGATAGTGTAAAACAATTGGCATAAATGAATGTAAATAACTGGAATGGCAAAGTTTTACATGATGATGCAAATTTCTTTAAAGAGCATTGAAATAACGCTGTGAATAAGTCCTGAATGGCCGATGAATTTACGATCAAACTGTGTCTAAGACCAGGTTAGTAAGTGGAACGATAGCTTTGTGGCTAGAAAGCTTGACATTTTACTAGTAGGTACCGGTTTCGAAGCCTGGAACACCTACTTTGGTTTGGGTAACCAGATAGTATCAACGACCTTGGGTGTGGCCTATCGCAGGGAACCTAAACCTATAAATGGGCTACAACACTAAGTCAATAGACATAATTTCATAGAATACCTTTCTACATAACCTTTCGGTGACCCTTTGATTTACCACCGATTTGGTTATACGTATGGGTATGCTACGAACATAAATATTCAAACTAACTCCGTATATTACCTGGTTTAACGCCGTTTGTGACGGCGGCAATAGGAGGCCGAATACGGGTCGTGTTTATCCAGACACATTCAGAATGAAAGCAGGAAAGAGAAGCAGAGTTGGTTTATTTGCCTTCGCCAAAATCACAGCGGTTCTGGAATCTATCGCCACTGTGGTGAAACTATACGAAATATTACTGGTACCGTTTCCCGATACTTAAAATGAAGTTGAAGAATTTCTCTGAATACATTACGTTACAAGTTTCAAACGAAACCTCAACGGATAGTACGTCTCAAATGATCACATTTCTATCTATCTGAACTATCTAGTTATTTATACTACGAGTGAAGTTCCAGGGAAAGAGGGAACGCCAGTTGACAATATTAAAAGACCAGTAGCCAGATTGAGCGCCCTGGACATTTCGTATCGAGAAGTGAGTGGAGTATGTGGGGGAAAATCTATCATAAGGCTATGACACAACACAAGTGTGTAGCCATTGACCTGGTCTAGACGAAGAAAGCTTCTTGCCTAGAACTCTATCTGGCAAACAGGGATCGGAAAGAATCAGAACCGACTGTGATGGAGGGTATGTACTAATTGCTTATTACTCCGAATCTACCTCATACAGATAGATAATGTTTTTGTTTATTGGTACTCTTTTCTCACGTCGTTGAGTAATATGGTGAGAATATACAGGTCTCACTTCGTTTATGTTACATAACGAAGGGTTATTTCCTTCGGAACCTGCAGACCGAATTAAAATGGGAGTGTGATACTTCCATTTGTCGATTGCTTTTATCTAGACGGCCAAACAGCTATTCCACAAGTTTTTTATTTCTATGATTCTCGTTTGTATCAGTGCTTTTAAAAAAATGAAATCACAAATTGTACCATAATGATATCTCTCTGGTGTCTTGAGAAGCTGAAATTTCGAGGTTTTACGGTTAGGGCAATCTAAATTTAGTACCATGGATAAAAAAGATAATGACCTACATAGATCAATCTGTCGTTTAAATTAAAGAACTAAGGTTTGAATGGACTCTTTGTTTGGTATGCATCAAAGTAACATGACCTAAAGACTTGGAAAGTCTGAGGTCTTGGTGGTTTGAGCTCAAGGTACCAGACATAAACTCTCACTCGTGCAAGGAATCAAACATCCAGATATTTAATAACATTTAAGTGCCATTGAATTGCAGTAATTAACGTAATTAAATGTCTTGAAAAACATTAGAAAGTCTCTGAAGTAATTTTGAATACGTACACGTAGAGTTAGCAAATCTAACGCCCAATAATTCTGGTTTTACCACCTCGTCTGCGAAATCAGCTGTCGTACTCCAGACAAAAGCTCTACTGCTGCTGCAGTTTGGACGTAAGTACATATTTTTAAGGAGATAATGGTTGGCACAAACCTAAATTGCTATAAAGTAATGTGTATAAGAACCTTGTACGTGCGATCCCGACGCATTAATAGGCGATAGCAACCACTGGTCCTGTTACGTAGAATTTTTAGCACTCCAACCCCACGCTCCTTCCATTCTGGGGGATCGTCAATAGTGTCGAAACGAAACAGCTGTGCTCTCCTGAAAGATCAAGTGACCGGATTTAAATAAGAAAGTACTGCTTGAATAAACACTCTTCATTCTCCTCAGAACTACAGACTGTTAAAGGGGGAAGAGTAATAACAGGCTCAAAATATAGGTCAGGGTCTTCGTGCTAAGCAATTTAACGAAAGGAATTATTCGTACTTCTGAAACGCTATGCATTATCGCCACTAGTAATTGAAAAGGCCAGCTAGTAGTTTGTTTGCGTCTATGTAATTTGCCTTTGCGCAGACGAGGTAAAGTGACAGCAGACCAAATACCACGGGATTCTAGAAGGAGAAATATGTAGTGTTAAGTCAAAAGCTAAACACCGTTATCATATTTACTAACGACAACAACCAACAGGAATTACTGATGAGTGTGTAAACTAAAAATGAACGTGTAATGTGTAAGGATATCAAAGCAACACAACGGCCAACCAATGATCACTCAAGGTTGTTGTTGCGTCTTCAACATCCAATAGGCTAACGGAATATATCGACCTCATTTTGTTTCAAGTAATAGTCTTAGAAACTCCGCCTGTAATTTTTTTTTTGTTTATATCGGTCCAAAGCCCGTGTAAAGAAAAAGATTTGAGCGTGGGGTTAGCGATTCCATCCCGTAGAAAACTAACTCTCTATAAATACGCTAACTAGAAAAAATAACGCAAACCATTTAATTTCTGCCCCGGGAGTTAGAAGGTCTTCATTTAGAAGAAACATGACGCCTCATGGTGAGAGTCGAGTTCCTCCGGAAGCCACGAGGCCGATGCCCCTTCTATCAATCAGAGTAACAATTTCCATAGGTACATTGAACGTCTGGACAATGTGGGAAACCGGGGAGACCAGTCAAATAACAGCAGAAATAAGGAGATACAACTTGGCAGCACTGGGAATCAGCGAAACCCATTGGACACAAGCTGAACAACAAAGATTAAATATGGGAGAGATGCTGCTATACTCCGGTCACGAAGAGGAAAATGCTCCACACACTCAGGGATTTTTTCTAATGCTGTCCAAAGAAGCACGAAATGCACTTGTAGGATGGGAAACTCACGGATCTAGAACTATCAAAGCATCATTCAAAACAAAGAAGGGGATCACAATGAACATTATCCAGTGTTATGCACACACCAATGATAGCAATGACGACGTAAAATATCAATACTATGAGAGGCTGCAATCAATCATAGAGAAGTGCCCAAGAAAAGACCTCACCATTCTGATGGGAGATCTAAACGCCAAAGTCGGAATAGACAGCACCGCATATGAAGATATCATGGGACTGCATGGACTGGGAGGGAGGAACGAAAACGGGGAAAGATTTGTAGATCTGTGTGCATTCAACAAATTGGTCATGGGCGGCACAATATTTCCACACAAACGTATACACAAAGCTACATGGATCTCACCGGACCACACCACAGAGAACCAGATAGATCACATTTGCATCAATAAAAAGTTCCGAAGGACAATGGAAGATGTGAGAACCAGGAGAGGAGCGGACATAGCTTCAGATCATCACCTAGTTGTGGCCAAATTGAAACTGAAGCTAAAGAAGAACTGGACAACTGGACAAACAGCACCACAAAGGTTCAATACAGCCTTCCTTCGAGATACTGACAAACTCAATGAATTCAAGGTAGCTCTCAACAACAGGTTCCAAGCCTTACAGGATCTACTGAAGGAAGAAGAAACTACTATGGAGGATAGCTGGAAAGGTATCAAAGAAACATTAACTTCAGCGTGTCAAGAGGTTCTGGGCCCCAAGAAGCATCATCACAAGGAATGGATTTCTTTAGAAACACTGGACCGGATCAAAGAAAGGAAGAACAAGAAGATAGCAATTAACAATAGTCGAACACGAGCAGAGAAAGTCCAAGCACAAGCTGAATACATAGAAGCAAACAAGCAAGTGAAGAAGAGCATTAGAGCCGACAAGCACAAATACGTGGAAGAACTAGCAACGACGGTGGAGAAAGCCGCAAGAGAAGGAAATATGAAACAGCTTTATGATACAACGAAGAAACTAGCAGGGAAATATAGTAAACCAGAGAGACCAGTCAAAGACAAAGAAGGAAGACCAATCACTGAGATTCAACAACAGCGGAACAGATGGGCAGAGTATTTCGAGGAACTCCTGAATAGGTCGGCTCCAATGAATCCACCGGACATCGGAGCAGCACACACAGATCTTCCTATAGATGTCAATCCACCAACGACAGAAGAAATCAGAATGGCCATCAAACAAATCAAGACCGGGAAAACAGCATGACCCGACAATATACCAGCTGAAGCACTGAAGTCAGACATCGAAGTAACTACAAACATGCTTCATCTTCTATTCAAGAAGATTTGGGAGGAGGAACAAGTGCCGATGGACTGGAAGGAAGGACACCTCATCAAGATTCCGACGAAAGGAGACCTGAGCAAGTGTGAAAATTACAGAGGCATTACACTACTGTCAGTACCAGGAAAAGTCTTTAACAGAGTGTTACTGAACAGGATGAAAGACGCAGTAGACGCTCAACTTCGAGATCAACAAGCTGGATTCCGTAAGGACCAGTCTTGCACAGAGCAAATTGCGACACTACGGATCATCGTCGAACAATCAATTGAGTGGAACTCGTCACTGTATATCAACTTCATTGATTATGAAAAGGCGTTTGACACTGTAGATAGGAGAATGTTATGGAAAATTCTTCGACACTATGGAGTTCCTGAGAAGATTGTCAACATTATCTGGAACTCATACGACGGACTACAGTGCAAAGTAGTGCATGGAGGACAGCTGACTGATGCATTCCAAGTGGGGAACGGAGTAAGACAAGGTTGTCTACTCTCTCCCTTCCTGTTTCTTCTGGTGGCCAACTGGATTATGAAGATCTCGACATCTGAGGGAAAACACGGCATACAATGGACAGCTCAGAACCAATTAGACGATTTGGACTTTGCAGATGACCTAGCCCTCCTATCACATACACACGAACAAATGCAGACAAAGACAGCCAACATAGCAGCAGACTCTGCATCAGTAGGCCTCAACATACACAAAGGGAAAACCAAGGTCCTCAAACACAACACGGAGAACAGCAGTTCAATCACTCTTGATGGCGAAACTCTGGAAGATGTGGAATCCTTCACATACCGGGGAAGCATCGTCGATGAAAATGAGGTTCAGATGCAGACGTAAAGGCTAGGATTGGCAAAGCAAGGACAGAATTCTTTCAATTAAAGAACATATGGAACTCAAAACAACTTTCAACCAACATCAAAGTCAGAATCTTCAATACGAACGTCAAGGCAGTTCTACTGTACGGAGCTGAAACTTGGAGAACTACAACAACCACCATCAAAAAGGTACAAGTATTTATCAATAGCTGTCTACGCATGATACTCAACATCCATTGGCCGGATACCATCAGCAACAGCTTTTTGTGGGAGAGAACCAACCAGCTTCCAGCTGAAGAGGAAATTAGGAAAAGACGATGGAAATGGATAGGACATACATTGAGGAAATCATCAAACTGCATCACGAAGCAAGCGCCAACTTGGAATCCTGAAGGGAAGCGGAAAAGCGGAAGGCCAAATAACACATTACGTAGGGAAATAGAAACGGATATGAAAAGGATGAATAACAACTGGAAAGAGCTGGAAAGATTGCCCAGAACAAGGTTGGATGCAGAATGCTGGTGAGCGACCCATGTTCTTTCACGAGGAGTAACAGGCGTAAGTAAGTAATAGTCCTAGATATTTACCAGAGACTATTGTGGTAAGTTGATGCCTTTAACTTCTATAGTTCTGTTACAACTATGGAGTACAACCAAACAAATATGGCTGCGAATGACTTTCCTATAGAGGCTATCATCTTTACATCCGACCTCTATAAATTTTCGCGCTTGCTCTTTAGTTTAAGAAGTGCTACACAAACTTTTCAGAAGTTCATCGATGACGTATTCACGGATCTCAACTTCCTGGCATGTGCACGTAGATGGCCATTTGATTGCAAGTCCGGAAAGAGAACGTCATCACCACCTGAACCCCGTTTTTCAATGACCCCGTAAACACGGTATTACTGTGAACATTTTGTAATTTCAGATCGGAACCAACTCCCTTGATTCTCGCGGCCACATTATTGATGCTCAAGGTATTCGCACTTTGAAAAGTAAAGTGACGACCGTTGTGGATTACCTATGTACGCACATCCAACAACATGACAAGCTTCCATCGACGGTTCATATATAGTTGAGCATCTTTCATGAGACCCTTAACAGATCAAATTCGTGAGAAAGCGAAAATCATCAGATTGGACGACGGCGCAGGTGAAGCATTCTTCACAGTTATGCCTTCACACCCGGGTACCAGAGCACCGATTAGTACCGACATATACGTATATGACTTGGCAAACGGAGAACTGATACAACAAGGAAATACTGATCTTCAGTACGAGTAATATTTGATAACCTCGTAGCTGCGGATCAAAGAGATGGGACAGGTAGCAAAATTTTGCTTTAGGACGCACACACAGGTAGGGATCATCTATCGTGCTGAAACATTATCGATCTAACATCTTTGCTATGCTGCACAAACTCTCTCATCAATGTGTTTAAGCAACCATCAAGCTCACGGGAGGACTGTTTTGCTGGCCAGGTATTAATAGAAATGTAGAGAGTGGGCACGCTCCTGTGTAAGCTGACAGAAATCTAAGGTTATTGGACACAACAAATACCTCAAGCTTTTTCGCAACTCCAAACGCTGGTTTCGATCATGTTCATGATGATTTGTTAGAAACTTTACCAGATTCAAAGGGATACTCCTACCTCTAAACATGTGGGAACCGTTTCACACGATGGCCAGCACCAGCACCCATGAAGACATTTCGTCTGAAACTGTGACCGTTTCATAGGACGATGGGTAGAAAACCTCGGTTGCCTTTCGACTATCACTACAGGCCGTAGGCGCTAGTTCGAACGTTCACATTTCCGTCGTCTTACTACACGATTCCCAACGACCACCTGCTATACACGACTTTATGCTTTGGTAGAACGATAGTTGAAGACTTCGCTTGCAGCTGCAAACCTATCACAATGGACTGAGTCTTCCATTCGTGCCAACTGGTATTTGCGATGCACTGAAAGCTGACGTCCGATATAATGCAGCAGAACTCGTTCAAGGCACTACACTTAAATTTCTAGGAGAATTCGTAGGTTCTCTGTCTTCAGTGAATATGGATGTAAACCTCTATATTCGTCGGATTTTGAACGTTATACAGTCAAACCTAAGTGTCATAGCAGTGTTAAGATCTGAATTATAGAAAACATCAGGATATATCATCTGAAACCCCAATCTGGATTAAACAATCACTAAACAACAAAACGCTACAATCCTAGCGACTGTGGTGTGACTGGAGATTATTATTGACCGCTACAAATCTCCTCATATACCTCATACCACGGCCTATAAATACAAGCTACGCAGAACTGTCAGGCCCTAAAACACTTGAAGGTATACCGTGTGGGAGGCAGTTTATAAGTGTTTTATCTTGATT